ATTAAAACTTTTAAAAAATGGTTAAACCTTTTTCATCAGCACAGCAGTATAAATTGTACTGGCTAGGATTCTTGGTTGCAAATAAAGAAACTGATATTGGTTAACTTAAGCCAAAAAGGAATTAATCAGAAAGGTGTTAGGTCACTCAGAGCATTAAGAAGGCCAGAGTATAGGTTGGCCAAGAGAACAGCCAAGACCTGCTACAGGAGTAATCTGCTTTGGGCAGTGTTGCTGGTTTTGTTTCCCCTAGATCAGTTGCCCTGCTGGATTCTCCACTCCCTCAAGATCACTGAGAATATAATCTCCAAAAGATCCTATGCCTTGCGTTATTTCCTCAAGATTCAGAACCTCTATCAGAAGTCTCTAACTAACCTCATTTAAATTAGGAGCTGTGCTCTAACTGCTAGGGATTGCAAGGGGGGCTGCATCCTACCTATTTTGGGATTCTCCCCAAATAGGAAAAGATTTCAGGCAGTCAGAACAACAAATGTCCCCCTATATAAATATTTTTATCTAAGCCCAAAGTTTAAAATTCAGAAAATTGGGATTTTAAAGCTAATTGAAGCCTGCAAGAAATAATGTCCTCACTTTACAGGTAAAATGACTTGCAAAGATCACACAGCTAGCTGGCAGAGCCAGACGAGAACACAGATCTCTACACTCATCATCACTTTGGATTGCTCTAAACTTTTAATCTTGTGTTCCTGGTATAACTTTGAATTTTTGGCTTTTATTCTTTTTTTATTTTTTTTTGTGAGGAAGATCTGCTCTGAGCTGACATCCATGCCAGTCCTCCTCTTTTTGCTGAGAAAGACTGGCCCTGGGCTAACATCCGTGCCCATCTTCCTCTCCTTTATATGGGACGCCGCCACAGCATGGTCTGACAAGTGGTGCATCTGTGCGCACCCGGGATCCGAACCCCGGGCCACCAGCAGCGGAGTGCACGCACTTAACTGCTATACTACGGGGCCAGCCCCTGAATTTTTGGCTTTTAATTAAGCAATGTATTAATATAATCTTTTAGTAAGAATTTGAACTATTGAGGCCTACTTCCATATTTATTTATTTACTCAGTTTATTCAATAAACATTTGTTGAGCATCTAATGTTTACCAGGCACTTGCTAGGAGCTGGAAACAAATATGAAAAAGACTGATTCTGGGCCATTAGGGAATTCACAGTTTAGTAAGGGAGGCAGATATAAAGATAGATTAGTTATAATGTAATGTGACATGTTTCTGTAGAGGAATTAAAGTAAATGTACATGGTTAACTCTGCCTAGAAGGTAACCTTGAACCCTGTGTGTTTTTTGAAGGTTGGAGAGGAGTGGAAGGGCATTTCAGACAGAGTGTATCAGTAGTTGGTGTCTTCTTCAGTCTTGAATCACAGGTGACTTGTATATGACATAGACAGCTAGCAATCTTTCTTGTCTGCTATTTGAAGGGGAAGGGGAAAATACAAGCCATGTTTAAAAAAATTATAAGAAGGTTTAAAGAATAGCATCAATGTTACAAATGCAATTATTTTTAAGGAATAAAATATAATAAATACAATTAAAAACCTCCTTTGTACCCTTTTCTAATTGAAATCACCTCTGTCCCCCAGTTTATCTCAATTGGTTATATTTCATTCCCATTTCTGTCTTGATACATATGTATACATCCCTAAATGATATATAATGACACATGGTATGATATATGGTATTGTTTTGACTATTTTAAAGCTTTATGCGGTCCTGAACAAAGTACTGACAAAGTTAGTTCATCTATAAAATCAATTTAATACACCACATTAATAAAATAAAGGTCAAAAACCACATGGTCATCTCAATAGATGCAGAAAAAGCGTTTGACAAAATCTGGCCTCCTTTCATGATAAAAAAGCATTCAGCAAACGAGGACTAGAAGGAAACTTCCTCAGCCTGATAAAGGGCACCTACAAAAAACACAGCTAACAGCATAGTTAATGGTGAAGGACTGAAAGCGTTTCCCCTAAGATCAGGAACACGACAAAGATGTCTGCTCTCACCACTTCCAATCAACAGTGTGCTGCGTGTTCTCGCCAGGGAAATTAGGCAAGACAAAGAAATGAAAGGCATCCAGATTGGAAAAGAAGTAAAACTATCTCTATTTGCAGCTGCCGTGATCTTGTATATAGAATGTTCTAAGGAATTCACAGGAACCTCTTAGAACTAATAAATGAGTTCAGCAAGGTTGCAGGATACAAGATCAAGATGCAAAAATCATATCTCTGTACAGTAGCAATGAACACTCTGAAAATAAAATTAAGAAAACAGTTCCATTTACGTAGCATCAAAAAGAACAAAATACTAAGGAATAAATTTAATAGTGCAAGACACTGAAAACTATGAAAGATAATTGAAAGAAGTTTTAAAAGACATAAATGGAAAGATTTACTGTGTTCATGGATTGGAAGACTTAACATCTTTAAGATGGCAATACACAATCCCTATCAAAATCAGAGCCCGTTATTTTCTGGAAATTGACAAGCTAATCCTGATACTTATGTGGAAACGAAAGAGACCGAGAATAGTCGAAACCATCTTGAAAAAGAAGGACAAAGTTGGAGGACTCACCCTTTCTGATTTCAAAATTTACTGCAAAGCTATAGTAATTAAGATGATAATGTATTGGCATAAGGATAGATATATAAATTGTTGGAATAAAATTGAGAGTTTAGAAATAAACCCTTATATTTATGGTCGATTGTCAACAAAGGTGCCAAGATAATTCAGTGGGGAGAGGATAGTCTTACAGAGATGACATTGGGACCACTGGAGATGCATGTGCATAATAATAAGTTTAGACTCCCTACTTCACACCGTACACAACAATTAACTCAAAATGGTCAAAGACTTAAAGGCAAGCTAAAATTAAAACTCTCAGAAGAAAGTATAGGCATAAGTCCTTATGACCTGGGATTAGGCATTGATTTCTTAGATATAACACCAAAAACATATGCAATCAAAGAAAAAATGGATTAATTGGATTTCATCAAAATTAAAAATTTTTGTGCATCAAAGGTCACTATCAAGAAAGTGGAAGGGCGAGACCGGTGGCGTAGTGGTTAAATGTGCACGCTCTGCTGCAGCAGCCCCGCGTTCGCAGGTTGGGATCCCGGGCACGCACCAACGCACTGCTTGTCAAGCCATGCTGTGGCGTGTCCCATATAAAGTAGAGGAAGATGGGCATGGATGTTAGCCCAGGGCTAGTCTTCCTCAGCAAAAAGAGGAGGATTGGCATCAGATGTTAGCTCAGGCCTAATCTTCCTCACAAAAACAAAAAAAATAGATAGTGGAGAGACAACCCACGTAATGTGAGAAAAGAGTTTTAAATTGTTTAAATAGTTTTTAATTGATAAGGGACTAGTCTCCAGAATATATAAAGACTCTTACAATTCTACAAGAAAGAGACAGCCCAATTTAAAAATAGGCCAAGATTTCAATAGCTGTTTCTCCAAAAAAGACGCACAAATGGCCAATAAGCACATGAAAATATGCTCAACGTCATGAGTCATTAGGGAAATAAACATCAAAGACCACAAGGAGATACCGCTTCACACCCACCAGGACTGCTAGAATCAGAAGGATGGACAGTAGCAAGTGTTGGCCAGGATGGGAAGCAGTTGGAACCCTCATACGTCGTCGGTGTGAATACAGAATGGTGCAGCTGCTTTGGAAAATAACTTGGCACTTCCTCAAGAAGTTGAACAGAGTTGCCATGACCTAGCTAATGCACTCCAAGGAGTCTGCCCAAGAGAACTGAAAACGTATGTCTACACAAAAACTTGTACACAAATGTTCCTAGCAACATTATTCATAATAGCCAAAAAGTAGAAGCAATCTAGATGTCCATCACCTGATGAATGGATAAACAAAATGTGATATATTTATACAGTGGAATATCATTTAGCCAGAAAAGGAATAAAGCGTGAACGAACCTTGAAAATATGCTAAGTGAAAAAAGCCAGACAGAAAAGACCATATATTGTATGATTCCATTTATATGAAATCTCCAGAATAGGCAGGTCTGCAGAGACAGAAAGTAGATTAGTGGTTGTCAGGGGCTATGAGGAGTGATAGCTGATGGGTATAGGTTTCTTTTGAGGACGGTAAAAATGTTCTGGAATTAGTGGTGATGGTTACACAACCTTGTGACTATGCTAATCAGCATTGAATTGTATACTGTAAAAGGATGCTTCTTATGGTATGTGAATTATATCTCTTTAAAAGAGAGGAGGAAAAATACATGAATACTCTTATAATGTAATAGGAAGACAATCCAATAAAAAATGGGGAAATGGGGGCCGGCCCGGTGGCTTAGCGGTTAAGTGCGCGTGTTCCGCTGCTGGCGGCTCTGGTTCGGATCCTGGGCGCGCACCAACGCACCGCTTCTCCGGCCATGCTGAGGCCGCGTCCCACATACAGCAACTAGAAGGATGTGCAACTATGACATACAACTATCCAATGGGGCTTTGGGGTAAAAAAAAAAAAAAAAAAAAGGGAGGATTGGCAATAGATGTTAGCTCAGAGCCGGCCTTCCTCAGCAAAAAGAGGAGGATTAGCACGGATGTTAGCCCAAGGCTGATCTCCCTCACACACACACACACAAAATGGGCAAAAGATATCAAATGACATTTCACAGTCATAAAGCTGAATAGTTAACATTTGAGGGCTAATTATGTGCCAGTTACTAAGCACTTTACATACAAATTTATTTAATTTTTACAATAAACTTTTGAGGTAGGTACTATTATTATTTCCATTTCACAGACTAAGAAATAGGCACTGATTAAGTAATTTGGTACTCTAGTTAATGAACATTGGACTGGGATTCAGACTCGGGAACTCATGTTTTTGTTCATTACACTCTGTGCTGTTTTAAACCCACACCATTCTTATATAAATGTCTTTGTGTGGACGTTTCACGTCACAGGGCTAGCTCCAACCACCTGTGCCGTGCTTGTTTTTCTCCTTTCCAGATCCATTGATGAGATGAAACGGTTGGAGGAAATGTCAAGTATGTTTCAGAGCTCTGGAGTTGAACGCCACCCTCCAGAACCGAAATCCCAAACAGAAGGGAGTGAAGATTCAGGGGGCAAAGAGCAACCTTGGGAAATGGTGATGGATAAGAAACACTTCAAACTGTGGCGGCGTCCTATTACAGGCACCCACCTTTATCAGTACAGAGGTGAGCCTGGCTTGGCTGCCTTGTTAGTGTGTCCCATGGTTGCCCAAGCTGTTCCTCATACTGTCTGAAGTGTTCTATTCTGGTTGTTTCTCAGAAAATTTGCCACGGGTTTACTATTTGTTGTTTGTCCTCTCCCAGGTGACAAGAGTCTCAGTGTCTTCTTTGCTGTACTTTGCTATAGGTTGTCTTTGTCTTACTATGCTGCCCCAATATGACTTCCAGTTTCTGAGTCTGCCTTTAAGGTCTATCAGGACTTTATAACTGAAATGCAGTTAAGAGATAGGATTAAGGGGAATGATGAGAGTGTGGCAAACATCCCTTATTCTTTCTTGTCATTCTAGTTTTCGGAACCTACACAGATGTGACACCCCGGCAGTTCTTCAACGTTCAGGTGAGTAAATTTTTCTTCCCAAATTTGTAGTCTCTAAGCCTAGAAATCCACTTACCACCATCCACATGAATAATTTCTCTGACTCAGAAGACACTGGCTTCAATACATCCATCTGTCTCTGTAGCCCTCATCTCACCTTGAATAGATCTGGGTAAATATTTAACTTGTAATTTCTTTGTTTGTCCAGTGGGGGTGAAACCATTTCTACCCTATCACAGGCTGTTGGGAAGATCAAATGGAGGAATGGATTTGAGTGCTTTAGTATATTTTATAAGGCTTTATAGTTTTTTTATCCTAAACAATTTGAGGGTAAATTATATACATGGCGCTTTATTTCAAAACCCTTCAGTGTATATTTCCTAAAACTAGACATATTCTCTTAACTAACCATGGTACCATTATCAAAGTCAGTAAATTTAACATTGCTGCAGCGCTTATATCATGTTCTGTTTGTATTCCAGTTTTATCTGTTGACCCTAAAATGCTTTATAGCATTTTCCCCTTCAGTACAGATCCAATTAGGATTTAGTAATCTGAAACATTTCCATAGTGAAGGTATTTATTTAATAAACATGAAGAGTAGCTGTCCAAAGACTGCCTTCCTCCTTTGGGGGAAATGTATGAAAAGGGGAGGTGGGATCACCCAGAGGTATACAAAAAATTTTTTTCCTTCCTGGATTTTTCATTTGTTTTGCTGGACTTTTAGTAACGAGTTTGATGATTATAACACTACCACTAGTAATATGCAAGTGCACACTTTCTCCTAAGCACTGAATTTTGTCAATTTATATTGAATTTTTGTTGATTTGGGTGTGTATAATATGTGTCTTACTCTGAAATTCCTTAGTTACCTGTGATGCTAGAAGTTAAAATATGCTACTTGCATTTCTTTGTGTAAGGTGTCTGCTCATACTTTTGGACTTTTTGTCTGTTTAAAACTTTATCTAGAGGGCCAGCCCTGGTGGCCTAGTGTTATCTAGAGGGCCAGCCCTGGTGGCCTAGTGTTAAGTTCAGCGCGCTCTGCTTCAGCAGCCCAGATTCACTTCCTGGGCGGGGACCTACACCACTCATCTGTCAGTGGCCATGCTGTGGTGGGGACTCACATACAAAAAGAGGAAGATTGGCGACAGATGTTAGCTCAGGGCGAATCTTCCTCAGCAAAAAAGAACCAAAAAAACATCTTTTTAGAATTGTTTCACTGTTACACATTTATATTACTATCTATTATATTTTCCCCAGACATGTCTGTTATGGTATTTTTTCTCACACTTTTCTTTGGTTTGTCTTTTTCTTGTTAAGATTCACTTTCAAGGTAATGGTATTGGCCTAAAGAAGGGATTTTAAAAGACTCATCTGTAGTAAACAGCCATGTCTTTCATACTTTGGCACTTTTGTTTTTGGTGAGGAAGATTGGCCCTGAGCTAACATCTGTTGCCAATCTTTCTCTTTTTGCTTGAGGAAGATTGGCCCTGGGCTAACATCTGTGCCAGTCTTCCTCTTATTTTGTATGTGGGACACAGCCACAGCATGGCTTGATAAGCGGTGTGTAGGTCTGTGCCCCCAGATACAAACCAGAGAACCCCGGACCACCAAAGCAGAGCACGTGACCTTAACCACTATGCCACTAGGCCGGCCCCTGACACTGTCTTTTAGGTCAGATCACTGTTTCAGAATAAAGTCCTCGGGGGCTGGCCCCGTGGCTTAGTGGTTAAGTGCACGAGCTCCGCTACTGGCGGCCCGGGTTCGGATCCCGGGCGCGCACCGACGCACCGCTTCTCCGGCCATGCTGAGGCCGCGTCCCACGTACAGCAACTAGAAGGATGTGCAGCTATGACATACAACTATCTACTGGGGCTTTGGGGGAAAAAATAAATAAATAAATAAAATTATTGAAGAATAAAGTCCTCGGGTCGGAGGCCCAAGCATCTGGAGAGGCCTCTGCAGCTTTGTTTTGCATCTCCTGGGTCTTCATGGTCTTTTCTCTTTCTGCAGCTGGATACAGAGTATAGAAAAAAGTGGGATGCCCTGGTAATCAAGCTGGAAGTGATTGAGAGGGATGTGGTTAGTGGTTCTGAGGTTCTTCACTGGGTAACCCATTTTCCTGTGAGTATTTTTACTTCTGGTTTTACTTTTGTCACGTCCATGTGAGGCAGAACACTAATCCTGCCCCTTCTTTTCTTTAGTATCCAATGTACTCACGGGATTATGTTTATGTTCGGCGGTATAGTGTGGATCAGGAAAACAATGTGATGGTGTTGGTATCACGGTACGTATGGTTACCTGTGGCCCCTGCTGAGTTCCTTTAGCTGTGTCCTTCATTCATTTTTGTCTGTGGTGGGAGTTTGCATGTTCTCAGTGCCCTTATGCATGAGGCCAGGGCCCAATCCATGCCAGCTAGAACATGGCTGGGCTGTGACTGATGACTATCTAGGAAGAGTGAATGGATATAAACTTTTCATTAAGCTGTTTTTTCAGTTCATTAATGTTGATAATTTAAAAAAAAAAAAAAAGTGCTCTCTTCATCACAAAGTGATATCAAGAATCACCAAGGGAACTCACTTTGTTTTTAGAACTTTGTATTCATTCATCTTAGTGACTCCTCTGTTTTATTTAAAAAATTAGAGCCAGCTTTTTAGATTTTCCTCTTCAGTTTAGCTCCTGTGCTGTTTTATACATAGACATTACTAAGAGTTTCTTTAACTTTTCTCCTTACCAGTGCTGTGGAGCACCCTAGTGTGCCAGAGTCCCCGGAATTTGTAAGGGTCAGATCATATGAATCCCAAATGGTTATCCGGCCCCACAAATCATTTGATGAGGTGAGTTTTACATCATCCAAGAGGTGATGTATAGTGGCTTTGGAATTTTCTCAAGGAATGCCTTTTATCTGAACTGGGGAAGGCGTGGGTTGCTGTAGGGCAGTGGTTCTCAAACTTGGTGTGCATTAGAAGCCGCTGGAGCCTGTTAAAATATAGTGGTGAGGTATGGCCCAAGAATTTGCATTTTTAAGAAGTTCCCAGGTGAGGCTGATGCTGCTGGGAACCATACTTTGGGACCGCCTGCTCTAGGGTGATGTACCTGGAAGATCCTCCAAGACAAAGTAGTGATGACCTTTCGGTTTCCGTTTATCTGAGAGACAAGTTGTGAGAAGGTGGTAGCCCCTGACGCATCAGCCTGTCGTTAGTGGCATTCTTTAGGAACTAGAGCAAGTACCTTTTCCATCAAAATTTCACCACAGTGGACAGAACACTTAAAACCTTTCTGGACTTTTGTTTCCTTGTCTACAAAATGAGAGGCTTTGACTAATGCTCTCTGCCTTCTTTAAAATTCTATGACCTTTCTTGGGGAGGAATATTTTCTTCGAGTGTACATAGTGATTCCAGTGATTGCTGTTTTTAGCTCTATTTCACTTTATGATGGCTTTGTTTCTCCGCATCACTTTTGTTTGTTTTAGAGCTGTATGAACTGTGTTCTTTAGTGTGGTTTTGTCGTTGTCATCATACCACCTGAAGCAAGACTAACTATGACAGAAAAGTGGTGGTTCACCTCAGTCAGTGTGGTGGTTGACTCTTTTTTACTAGATGATTTGTGTGTTTACTTCTGTGCTATTTTTAGAGCAGTATTTTTCTTCTTTTTTTTTTTTTTTGAGGAAGATTGGCCCCGAGCTAACATCTGTTGCCAATCTTCCTCCTTTTTTCCTGTTTCTCCCTAAAGCTCCAGTAGATAGTTGTATGTCATAGTTGTATATCCTAGTTGCTCTCTGTGGGACGCTGCCTCAGCATGGCTTGATGAGCAGTGCGTAGTTCCGCACCCAGGATCCAAACCGGTGAACCCCAGGCCGCTGAGGCGGAGCATGCTAACGTAACCACTACGCTGCCAGGCCGGCCCCTAGAGCAGTATATTTCAAACCATGGGTTACTACCAATTAGTGGAAGACAAAATTTATTTAGTGCATTATGACCAACTTAAAAAAAAGAAAAAGAGTAAATAGAACAGAATAGAAACTGTCTGAATATAAGTGTATTTCATGAGACTTTTATTTAGTTTACGTAAGTATGTATGAATGTGTGTGTGTGAGAGAGAGAGAAAGAACTGGGTTGCAATGTAAAAAGGGTTATTTACAAACTAAACGTGTAATTAAAAATGTTTAAAAGTCCTTGCTGTAGAATATAGGAAGGAAGAAGTAAAGCCGCTGTTGATGGTTAGTTACCCTTAGGGAGGGGAGGGAGCCTGGGCGAGGCTGGGGACACAAGTGTGGGAGGCAGACTTAATGCCTCACTCTTTTCTTTTAGGTTGCTGTTGAAATTTAAACCTTGTCTGTGTATTTCCTATTTGAAAAAAAGGTGACTTGAGTTTCAGCATTGCTGCCTTTAAAAACCGTGACCATGAAACAGCCAAGGCTTAGTTTAGCACCTAGCAGAGTGTGTTGGGTTTAGTAGGCACCCAATAAATAATTCCTTTCAGCTGGGTTGGGTAGGGGACTGATACAAATTATCTATCTAGTTCTTTTAGTATATTTGCGGCAAGCTCTTAGGAGAAAGGTAAGACTTGAGTTGGTTCTTGTAAAAAGGCAGACTGTGGATAGAGGAAAACAGGAAGGGGACTGGAGGTAGAAGACTTTTCAGCCAAAGACAAAGATGGAAATGGGAGTGAGTCACGGATGTGTTCAGAGACTCACTGCCTGGAAAGGAAGGTAGAGGTTAGGGATGAGTGTAAATTACATCGACCATGTACAGAGGGTACTTGAAAACCAGGCAGCTGAGTTTGGGTTTGCCAGGTGGAAAGTAGATCTTTGAGTCACGGTATGGTTTTTGTTTGTTTTACTTCTTTCTTTCTTTCTTTTTTTTTTTTAATTTTATTTATTTATTTATTTTCCCCCAAAGCCCCAGTAGATAGTTGTATGTCATAGCTGCACATCCTTCTAGTTACTGTATGTGGGACGCGGCCTCAGCATGGCCGGAGAAGCGGTGCGTCAGTGCGCATCCGGGATCCGAACCTGGGCTGCCAGCAGCGGAGCGCGCGCACTTAACCGCTAAGCCACGGGGCTGGCCCTGTTTTACTTCTTATTATGGAGAATTTGAAATGTATATAAGAGATAAAGAAGTAGAGAATAGTATAATGAACGCTGTGTATCCATCCCCAGCTCATGGCTGAACTTGTTTTCTCTGTAGCCTTTCTCACTCCCCTGATTATTTTGAAGCTGATTTTAGCTTTGCTATAGAAGAACCAGTAGAAGAATTCTTCTATAGATATTTTAGTATTTATCTCAAGAGGAAAGGACATTTTTGAAAATATAACCTCAATATTATAATAATCCCTAATATCAAATATCTGGTCACTGTTCAGATTTTCCTGATTGTCCATGAATTTTTTTTTGTAGTTGGTTTATTTGAATCAGGATCCAAATAAGATTTAGACATTGAAATTTATTCCTACTGTCTCTTGAGTTCTGTTGAAATCAATAAGTTCCCCCTCTTTTTATTTTTTCCTAGAGTCATATTTGTTGAAGAAACAAGGCTCTTTATCCTGGATCTTGCTGATTGTATCCCCATAGTGTGTCCACAGTGTCATTTAACATGTTCCTCTGTGCCCTGTATTTCCTGCATATTGGTAGTTAGATCTAGAGGCTTGAACAGATTCAGGTTGTTTGTTTTGGGCAAGATGACTTGATTAGAAGGCAAGTAATGTGTGATTGTTCCTTTGTGAATTGAGAAGTGATTGATGATTATTGCTCAGATCCATTATTTCATTATGGGTTACAAAATGCTGATTTTGTAATTCCTTCATTTATTTCCATTTGTTAGTTGAAATACTTTAGGGAAAATTTTCCTCATCAACTATTTGGTTTCCTGTAGTTTACGTTTGAAAGGGAAATAAGAGAAATGCTTGATTCATTTCCTTTATTTCCTAGTTTTCAAAATAATGAATTGGTTCTTTCAACTAGGGATCCTCCAAAGGTAAAGGTTTTGTTTTTATTTTTATTTTTTAAGGGACTACCATTAGAAACTCAAAGATTTAAACGTTTGGTTAGCTTTACTCCATTACAGTTATTCTTATTGATTCTCAGGTTGTCCCATTTTTGGCCATTAGGAGCCTCATCTTACTGGCTTGAGTCCTTTTGACTTGACCTCAGGAGCTCTCTTGTTTTCTGGTGTTACAGGATGTTCCACGTTCATCTTGTATGGTTTTTGTTCTAAACCTGGAACTTCTCCTTTCTTCAGGGAGGTGTGGTTCCTTTTAAGGAAATGTCGTGTAAATGCCACAGTTTGGCTTCTAGGAGTACTTAATAGCTACTGGCTTGCTTGTTGCTTTTAGGCCCTTTCACAATATAGAACTAAGTAATAAGTTTTGTTTGTTTATTTTAAAGATAAATCCTAGGTGCATATTAATACTTTTAATTCAAATTCGGGGTTGTAGAGTTTTTAGTTATGTTCTGTGTCTTATATCTGTCATCCTTTTCTGTGCTGAAGAACTCACTTCTCACATCCCCCAACATAACTGTTCATTTGCTTTTGCGAAATACACACACACCAGCCTCAGAATAATACCAACAGGATCACCAATAAGTGATGACTAAAAATTGGTATGACTTTTTGTCCTTAGGATATGTGCACTGTGTACAAAATATTGAGTTTTAAAGTCACTTGAAATAAGTCCTCTGTTTGTGGTTTTTCGTACCAGCTAAGCTCAGTTAGGTTCCTTATTTTCCACTTTACTTTTGATTTTTATTTATTTTTTTTTTTTTAAAGATTTTTATTTATTCAGTTTTTTCCCCCCAAAGCCCCAGTAGATAGTTGTATGTCATAGGTTCACATCCTTCTAGTTGCTGTACGTGGGACTCGGCCTCGCGTTGGACGGAGAAGTGGTGCCTCGGGGCGCTCCCGGGATCCGAAACCGGGCCGCCAGCATCAGAGCGCGCACTTAACCGCTAAGCCACGGAGCCGGCCCAACTTTTGATTTTTAGATACTGCTTTTATATTTAATTTTGTTTTATTAAATTATGAAAAACTTTATGTTTCCAAAGTCAAATCTGAAAAATAAATATTTGGAGTAATTTAGCTTATATCCCTTTATCTTCTATCCAGTTCCTTCTTCCTTTAGGTAACCATTGTTTTCAGTCTGGACTTTCTTTTTTTTCATATAAGCAGTAGTGGATGAGAACCCAGGTCTCGACTTCCCAGTCTAAATGTCTTATGGGAAGAATAGTCTTTTACATGTATTAACTCATTCAATCATATAACCAACCTTTGTGGTGGGTATTGTTACTACTCCTATTAGAAAGGCTTTACCTCTCCTTCCTCTTTACTTCTGTGATATTCAGTCTATATCTCTGTCTGGCACCTATTTATCCTGGAGCATAATTGGTTCAGGCCTCTCCTAGGATCAGGACACCTGTAAATCTCCTAATCCCCTGTCCTTCACCGTATCAGGCAATGAGAGGGCTGAGCCAGAAAGAGTGGGTGCATGGGCCCTTCACTCAGAATTCTGGGTTCATCTTGGCTCTAGCTGAGATGTGGGTGACCTTGGGCAAAGTTACTCAATCCCTGTGCTCGGTTTGCTCATCTGTAAAATGGGGGATAATAGTACCTACATTATAGGATTATTGTGAGGAGTTGAAGCAGTTCCTGGCACATAGTTAAGTGCTGTATAAATGTTTGCTGTTATTATTAGTAGTGGTAGAGTTAATATCATTTTGGTAAAGATTAAGATCTTTAGACATTGAGGGTGTGTGTTGGGGTCCTCAAGACCACCCCACATCAGAACATTCACTAGAAGGAGTCACAGGACTCAGCATTTAGTTGTACTCATGGCTAAGATTTTCTACAGTGATGTAGTAAGGATACACAGCTGGATCATAAGGGAAAAGACAAAGGTGGAGTCTGGAGGAATCCATGTGCAGGCTTCCTCATCCTTTCTCCCTCCCGTGAGGGGTCGCACAGAGCTCATTCTTCTCCCAGCAAAAAAAATGCAATAACATGTGTGTGATGTTTCTGCCCAGGGGAGCACGAAGATTTTTACTGGGGGCTGGTCACATAGGCACCCTCTGCCTCGCACATACCAAAATTCCACATCCTCAGAAGGAAAGCAGGTGTTCAGCATAAAACACACTGTTTGCACAAACAGAGGGACACAGGGAGCCACCCTTAGTGGTTAACTGTTGACTGGGATACTCCGGGAGCCGAGTTCCCAGACACCAGCCAAGGGCTGACCTTGCAAGCAGGCTTTTCTGCACATAGCAGCCTCTCAGGTCTTCAATGTTAGCTCTTTTCTGCTCAGGGTAAAAAAATGGCGCTCTCTGCCCCAGAATCAGATCATGGTTATTCTGGGGTACTGGATATAGAGGCTGTGGTGGGTAATTCAAGTCCCTTCATCTTTGCTGTTTTTCTTTTCCAGAATGGCTTTGACTACTTGTTGACATACAGTGACAATCCCCAGACTGTGTTTCCTCGTTACTGCGTTAGTTGGATGGTTTCCAGTGGTGAGTGGGCACTTGTGTATAGGGCCTGAAACCTGAGTTGAACATTTTGTTTTTCTCTAGCTTCTTAATGGCAGCAAGAAGATTAGTACTTGTCTCACTGTAGCCCTATTGAGGAAATTAAACATCCTTCCAAGTTCTTTCTTGAATACTCTGAGAAGATATCGAAGCCTCTGGCTGGGGTTTGGAGGGATGAGAATTATGGAGTCCCAGAAAGGAACTTGTGCCCAAAAAGGAGTTTTAAGAAGGACATTTGCTTAATGCCTTAAATATGGACTGTGTACATTAATGCATTAAAAAAAATTTCTTCTTAGATAGTGTTGGAGGCCAGAAAATGTGGTTCTAGGACAGTTGCCTGGAGAAAGGGGCCACCACCTGTCTTAACAAAGGCTATACAATACGCTGTAACTACGCCTTTCCCTTCCAGTTTCTTGCCTTAAAAATCATCCTCGTGTGATTTACTTTCTTCTAATTCTCCATAGGCAGCTTCTTACACCTCAGGGGGAGAATGGAGAGGGCATTAGGTGTTTCTGTTTGACATTTGTCTAAATAAAATTGGCAGATATTTAGGCTATGCTGATAAGTGATATTTTAATCACCTAAGAGAGCCTTGTGGGACTTGATGTAGCCTGATCAGTACCACTTTTCAGAGAATCTCAGGTCATGGGTTGTTTTCATGCCCTATACATTTTGGGAGGCAACTGTCACTCACAGGTTGTTAGTCAGGCTCTGATCTCTATAAGGAGGAATTGGATCCCTGCCATGAAAGAAATAGGGCCTTCTGATTTTGAGCCTCCTGCTAGTTTGTATGTCAGCCTACCCAGATTTCCCTCTCTCCCAACAGGCATGCCAGATTTCCTGGAGAAGCTGCACATGGCCACTCTAAAAGCCAAGAACATGGAGATCAAAGTAAAGGACTATATGTCGTCTAAGCCTCTGGAAATGAGTAGTGAAGCCAAGGCCACCACCCCATCTTCTGAGCGGAAGAACGAGGGTAGTTGTGGCCCTGCCCGGATCGAGTACGCTTGAAGGGCTTTGGGATAGAAGGGACAACTTGCTTCTAGCCCTGTCTTGGTCCCTTATCACTCTGCTACAGAACGGGAACATGTATTAGAAGGCGTCTGCTGTAACCACCAGTGCAAGATAATTCAGTAACTGGTGTCCGAATTCATTCAGAGCCCTTATCGCTCTTTATCAAAACAGAGAGAAGAAAGAGGCATCCATGGGGGCGTTGTCATATTCTCAGGCCAAGCATTTTGAAATTCAGTATTTCACTGAGTTAATCTGGAACATACGTCTCACCTCAGGCCAGAAGGAGATGACTTCTTTTTGCTTCCTCTGAGTCGTTTCCTCTGCCAGCATTCCAGTTCCCACCATCGGTTCTGCAGCCCTTTGGATTCCCTTCAGTTCTGAAGGTCCGGCTGGAAAGTGCAGTGGGCTGGTTGAGTCTTCAATGAGGGTCATTGGGAGTGTTCTTGGTAACAGTCCTAGTGTTAGAGGGATGTGAACTGTTGCTTGGCAGTGTAAGTGCCTTGTCCTCACCTTCTATCTTTAGGACATAAAGTTTGTACCAAGAAATTTCTCTCTTTGCCTCCCAGATACCACCCCATTGACTCACTCTCCCCAAAGCAGTTTCCTTTGAATTGGCCAGTTCTTCTGCATTCATGTACTATATTAATTTGGATCATCGCCTCCTTCCTTAGCACATTTACCAAGAACGCTGGGAAACGAATCCTTTTAGACAGTAGCTTCCTGTATCATTGGTGTTTTGATAGGGTCAGTGGAAATGCTCAAAACATCACACTTTAGGGTTTTTTTTTTTTAACCTTTGTGTCAAAAAGTAGGAATTAGGGGAGTTGAATAGGATTTCTCCATAGTCCCACTGTGTAGAAAAGCACCATTTTGATTCAGGCATTATTCTCCACACTTCAGGTTTGACTGGATGCTGAGGGCTTGTCCATCTTGGAAGGCTAAAGGCAGAGGAATGTGGGTGGGCCACTCCTTCGGACCGCTCAGAGGTGTAGACAAGCTGTGTGACCGAATAGATGTAATCTTGCCCCAAGTACTAATATAATGGAGATTGGTTTATGTCTCCCTCTTGTTCCTCTGAAAAGTTTTTCCTTCTCTCTTCAGAGCTAAAATAAAAGCAGCCACACTGTTTGGATAAAGTCACCATCAGATGGTATCAGTTTGGCCTAGCCGATTTTGCTTATGGTCATGCTGCCATCTGACGGGAGAATAGGGATCAAGTTTTAAATTCTCCTCCCTTCCCTTTTTTCCTAGAATTTAAATGGCTGGGTTTTTCCTTTTTTTCCTGCCTGCTACTTTTTTGTGTTGTTGAAAAAGGGATCTAAATCTGAGACTCACTTAAGCACCTGGCCTTTTCGTTGCCTGTTAAATTTTGTGCCAAGGAAGTAACTGTCCCCGTGTTGCGTGTCTTGTCTTCTCTGAGTCGTTGGCAGAGCAGAGTTGCACTGCACAGGCCCAGCTTCTTTCCATTGCTCATTTCTCCCTTCTCATCCCCAGGACCTGACAGAAGCCAGGGAAGAGTCCCTGGGTTGTGTCTGATCTCAGGGCCTGTGATTGTTGGGATGTGGATGGGTGTGGGCAAGAGTGTGGGTGAGTACACAGGTGTTAAGGAGCTGTGTGTTGCTCACGGTCTCATTTTTGGCAATTTGACTCTGCACTTGGGGTTGGTCTGTGTAGTTACTTATGTCATTGTAATGATTTCACTCCCAACTGTGACATTTTTATCAAATGTGTGAATAAATACATAAAGATTGGTACAAGAGAGTGTTTGTCTTTGGACAGATGGTGGGGAAATCTTGCATATTGGGCTTATCATTTCTTCCTGATCATAACGTTGTAAAGAAGAGTGTTTTCTACCCATGGAGCTGGCACGTGGCAGTAGGAGGGCTTGGGCTTTCTTAGTAGTGCTGACACACCGCTAACCACCTCGTGGAAGCTTGGAGCACTTTCCAGGCGACCAGTTTGGCAATGAAAGCAAACCGCCTATTCCACTACCTTGACTTGATCTACTAACTCATGTCCTTGGCTTTTATAGAAGGATCAACTTGGAGGAAACAGTGTTAGAGCTTTAGTAAAAGCTGATAGTAAAACTTGGGAGGCAGTGAGGAGAGGAGGGAGCTGGAGCAAGCCCGGGTCGAGAGTTGTGGAGGGGCAGTTCAGCACCCTGGTTGGAGAGCTAGGGCTGTGAGCTCAACCCACTTGGCATGGTTGGAAGTAGGGTCACACTTAGAGGCAGTTCTGCTAGAATGCAAATTTGTCTCAAGGTGATTGACATGTTAGGGACACTTGGAGCGTAATGTGAATTTTGAGTTTCTGTATGATTTTGCCTGTGGGAACAGGTGAACACAAATAACACACCCAAACTGTCACCACTCTTCCGAATTGCTCTGAGCTAATCACTGGGAAGACATCTCTACTTGTAGACTGCTTGTTAGAGGTTGTGTGCTTACGGGTGCACATATATCTGTATCATCTCAAAGCGGGAGAGTTGGTCGTCCTGGCCTCCGCCCTGCTGCAGAAGCCCCTGCACAGCATCCCTGACGTGGTTCTCCAGGCTCTGCGTGAACACTTCCGCTGAGAAGCAACCGACTTCTTACTGAGAGCAGCATTTCTGTCATTGGACAGCTCTGACTTTCAGGAAGTTCTTTACGTCGAGACTAAATGTGCCTCATGGCAACGTCTACCTTTGGTCAAGCCCTATCCTTGGAGCGACACAGGGAAAAACACTTCCATGGGGTAGCACTTCACGTTCTTGAAGACAGAACTCGTGACCCTAAGCTTTTCCTAGGCACTGTGTTACTAGCAGCTTCGAAAATCCTCTAGCTTTTTATTTTGAGAATTTTCAGATATATTGAAAAGTTGAAAGAGTGATAATAAAACCTTGTATACCCTTCCCCTACATTTGCTGGTTGTTAACAACTTGCTGTAGTGTGTTCTTTATCTTTTTCTCTGTATATACACTTTGCTATGGACTGAACTGTGTTCCCCTAAAATTAGGATGCTGAAGCCCTAACCCCCATGTGATGGTATTTGGAGGTGGGGCCTTTGGGAGGTGATTAGGTTTAGATGAGAGTGGCGCCCCATGATGGGGTTAGTATCCTTATAGGACAAGACACCAGAGGCTGGCTTGTTTTCCCTCTCCCCCACGTGAGGACACTGAAGGCAGCCGTAGGCAAGCCAGGAGAGAGCTCTCACCAGGAACAGAATTGGCTGGCATCTTCATCTTGGACTTGTAGCCTCCAGAACTGAGACATTCTGTTGTTTAAGCCACCCAGTCTATGGTATTTTGTTATGGCAACCCGAGTGGAATAATACACTTTTTCATGACCATTTGAAAGTAAGTCGCAAATATGATGTTTTACCCCTAAACACTTGATACGGTCTTTTATACTAAGGATGTTCTGTGTAACTACACTACCATTAGTACACAGATAAATAATGTTATATATTTAATCTAATTTAGTAATTCAGTCCATATTAAAATTTCCCCAGTTGCCCCCCAGATCCAGGATCCAATTAAGTGTGTGTTGCATTTGTGTCTTGAGTCGATAGCAGCTAAGTAGCCGAGTCAACAGTAGCCGGCTCTTCGTTTGTAATGTAGCTCCATGGGTGCCTCAGATCGGGGAGTGTAGTGCGCTGATTCTCAAACTCACCTGCACCTGGGAGCTTTGAGAACTGCCGCACTTGGGCCCTACCGCAGAACAGTTACATCAGAATTGCCAGGGGTGAAAATGTTGAACGTGAAAGCAATCAAAAGGATACAAGATAGGCAGCAATCTCCTTTGGTCTGCATGCTACTAATACAAGCTAAGGTGTCGTTAATTTGTCACCACTCTTGTCACACTGTTGGCTTGTGTTGGGCTTGGAATCAGTATGGCCACCGTTACTGAGTGCTTGCTGGGCTGGGCGCTGCTTCGTGCTTTCATGCAGGATCTCACCTAATCCTACAACAGCCCTGTGAGTATGTAGCTATCGCTGTTTTATAGGTGGAAGTGGCCTCAGAGGTTAAGTAATTTTCTTGCTCAAGGTCACAGGAAGTGACGGAGCCAGGACGCAGACCTAATTTTGACCTCTCCAAAGACTCCTCTAGGGGCGTGGCTTCAAGCTCATGTTAGTTCCTCGTAAATGCTGTCATGCTAGATTCCTTCCCAGGGCAGTTGACTTATTGTGGAACCTGGATCATAGGCTTTCTTTTTACCCATCCTTGTAAATTTTATGTGGTTAAACCTCCCCATCCCCCTAGTCCCGTCATCCAATTGCCAGTTGTTGGGGCTCTTTGTGTGAGTATCAGAAGCATAAATATACTTTCCTGAAAACTTCAGGAAACCACTACCGTGACACGGGTTAAACAATGGGATGGGGTGGTGTTCTTGGGGACATCTTGAGGTAGCATTTTCTAAAAATGTTTAATTACAAAGTAACCAGTCTCCGTACCCAGCATGGTAGGACAGGAGTCTGGAAATTCTTTTCAAAATGAAAATACTCTTCATAAAATTTGAGAACTCTGATTTCTAACGAATAAAGTGGAAAGCGTCTAAAAAATTAAACTAGGTGCCGGCCCCGTGGTGTAGTGGTTAAGTTCGGCGCGCTCGGCTTCAGTGGCCCAGGTTCACGGGTTTGGAACCCCTGCTGCAGACCTACGCCACTCTTCAGCCATGCTGTGGCGGCAACCCACATAAAAGTGGAGGAAGATTGGGACAGACGTTAGCCCAGGGCTAGTCTTCCTCAGCAAAAAAAGAAAAAAAAAAGTGTGTGAATGGAAGTGATCTTAATGTAAGATGTGCTTGTTCCTACAAACCTCAGTGGGTACTTGATAGAGCATCATTCCAAAAGAACCCCCAGGCCACACACGGTCACGATTGCTTTAATAACCTCATCGTCGATTTTGGTCCACAAATGCACTTTAGAAGATGTTCAAATAGATAACTTATAAATGACCTAACTTTATCATCTACTGTTAAGGAGCCTGACCACACCTAAAAAGATAGGGTGAATGTTGGAAAGTAGTAATATTTTGTGGTTAATGCATTTTATCATATCTTAAAACTGGTGTGTCTGTGAGTTAGGATTATGTTCAGCCTGGAGGGCCAGAAACCCGCAATATGGCTGAAACAAGACTAACGATGTTCCCTTGTGAATGGACCCAGTCCAGGGCTAGTATGATAGCTCCACAGTCCTCCCCGACAGGCTCCTGCTCTCTTGCCCTGCCTTCATCACACATGGGTGGAATCATGGTTACATCAGAATCTCTGCGGGTGAGACCCAAGCACTGTGTTATATTTCTGGATATACGATTGTCAGTGCTCTTCCTAAAATGTGGAGCCCAGGGCTAGACCTAACTCTGTTCTGTGGCAGGTGAGCACCACGAGGACAGGGAATGTGTCTGTTCGCTGCCTGCCGAGTCCTCAGTGCCCTGGTGGGGCCTGCTCCACCTCTAGCCATCATGTCTGTTCTGCCAGTGGGAAGGAAGCAAAAGGGGAAAAGGGAATGTCCCTCCCCTTGAGGACATTTCCCAGAATGGTCACCATTTCTGCTTACGGCTCAGTGACCAGAACTTAGTCAAAAGACCACATTCAGCTGCTGAGAAATAGTCTATACTTTGAGCAGCCGTGAGCGCAGTTAAAATTCAGAGGTAATTTTGCTGAGGAAGAAGGAGAGAATGGAAATAGGGGACAACTGGCAGGCTTTGCCAAATTATAGCTAAAACATACTCACCTACAACTTCAAATGCATCACTTCGAAGGCTCTGCGTTCAGTTAAAAAGGCAAAAATGCCAGTAGATATTTTAGTTTTCTAGGGCTGCTGTAACCAAGTACTGCAAACTGAGTGGCTTGAGGGACAGAAATGTGTTGTCTCACAGTTCTGGAGGCTAGAAGTCTGAGATCAAGGTGTCAGCAGGGTTGGTTCCTTCTGAGGACTATGAGGGAGAAGCTGTTCCACGCCTGTCTCCTAGCTCCTGGAGATTGGTGGCAATCTTTCACACTCCTCGGCTTGGAGATGCATCGTTCCGATCTCTGCCTTCATGTTCACCTGGCATTCTCCTTGTGTGCAGGTGTCTATGTCCAAATTTCCCCCTTCTGTAAGGACACCAGTCGTATAGGATTAGAGCCCACTCTATTCCAGTGTAACCTCTCTTCACCTAACTAATTACATTTGCAGTGGCGCTATTTCCAAGGAGGTCACATTCTATGGTCCTGGGGGTCAGGACTTCAACATATGAATTTTGAGGCAACACAATTCAAACCATAACAAGAGGAGATCACAGAGAACTCGATTTGAAAAAGACTTTTCAAAAGAAATGGCCCCTTGTGGAGTCCAGAAAGACTTTCCTGCCTGGCCGCAGTCACCTGTCCTGTAGCTCCAGTGTGCCAGCAGCAGGGGGCAGGGCTGCGCTGCCTAATAGGAGCCTCTTCTCCTCAGGCTGCCCTTGGCTGCTGGAAGGATTTTACAGCTCATAAAACTGCCACTTCAATGTGGTTATTTGGGCACCACTGCCTCTTCCTCAAAGCCTTAAGTGGCATCAAGACCTATGAATAAACGAGAGAGGAAATGGGTCAGACGACCACAACCTGTGTGGGAGTATATAGTAGGTTGGTGGGAAGAGGAGGCTGAGGGCAAGTGGGAGATTGACAGGCTTCCAGCCGGGTGACCAGGGTGTGTGCGTGGGAGAGAGAGCAGAGAGCGAGAGGTGGAGATAAGGAGGTGGGCCGTCTCCTCCACATCCAGCCAGGACTGGTAGGCCAAGTGGAGGACCCAGC